ATTTTCAAACTTATTGACAAGTATAAAACTCCAATTGATGCGTGTCTCTATTCATAACATGAATGTTCCAAACATGTAACAAAAGGCTCAAAGCATAATGAATGAAGAGCATTACTGAATATTCATTCACACAGTCAATTATTAAGCTACTAACAAGAAGCTTATGTTAATATTAAGAAGGAATCTAGTGACACAAAGATGAACATAAACTTGGAATAAAAAACGTGAACCACCACCAAGAGTAACAAATGGACAGCAAGATGAGCAAAAGAATGCTAATTACTTGAGTTCTGAAAAATTGGAAAGAAGATGCTTAAATAGTTTATTTTCAAACACTACTCCTTAATCTTATACAACACTTAATCTTATACATATCCTAGCTTCTTTACAATAGCACGTCAAATTTGAAAGATGCGCATAAAGCAATTTTTTTGACAATTTGTAGATATAGATATGTATAGTCAACTAAATAGTTCGATATGGCTGCACTGACAAAGTACCATGCTTGACCAATAAAAAGTGAATCAGTATCATAGTAAAGATTTTTAGTGCAAAAGCTAACAAAAATATTATGTTACCACGATACATTGATGCACCCCTAGAAAATCCACTACTTTTCCTGAAATTTATTACTGGAAGAAGAAAGCTAGTGACTAGATGATTTTCTTAGCACTTACAAAGTACCATGCTTGACCAATAAAAAGTGAATCAGTATGACAGTGAAGATTTTTAGTGCAAAAGCTATCAAAAATATTATGTCACTGAATTCTCATCACCTATTTTTTGTTTACATCTATCTTGTTGAGGATTGATTCGTATTTAGACGAAATTATTTAACCAAAATAAAAAAATAAAATAACAACCATAGCTTGTGATGGATGTGGTGAAATAAAATGGTAAGAAAAATTGATTATAAGATACATGGCACTCAGTCACTCTTCTTCAAGTACAGAGGGGGAGGATAAATACAACTAGCTATATATGATTCATAGTTACCTTCTAATTGAGGCTACAAATTCTTGCCTGGTCATGTGTTTCATCTCCTCAAGTTCCTTTTCGTAATTACTGATCTGCAATTTCAAATGTATTAATTCATTTTAATATGTGACAGTAAAAAACATTAGAACTATTATTTGATTTTTTTCAAAATCTTTAGTGCATCACAAAAGCATACAGGGAAGTTTGTAGTGGTAGATGTTCCCCGGTACTTCAGTGCAGCCATATCATAAGCCCTAGCTGCTTTCTCTTCTTTGTCATACCCACCTGCTCAAATTAAAATTAAAATAAAACCAGAGTAGATCAGATCGCAATAAAGTCAAAACCCTACAGTGGAGAGATTGAGGAAGAACTAGAGCAAATCAACGATGAATTGTTCGTCATCGCGTCGTTGTTTGTCGATTTGGGGATACAACAAGCGAGAAAGCGAGAGAGAGCACGAGACTGATAGGGAGAGCCAGAGATAACCTGGTATTGTGGCGGTGGCGGTGGCGGTGGCGGTGGCGATGTGTGACGTTGAATGCTTCCCAGTGGTGTGCGCTGGCGGTAAGGTGAGGTGTGGTGCTGACTAATGTGTGGGAGAGAGAGAAGTGTTTTGTATTCCTAAACAGAGGAGAATACCTGGCGGGCAACAAATAGCATTTTATTTTCCCACCATAATTTTGGCACCTTTGGCGACTAATGTAAAATTTTATTAACAAAAATTGAAGTAATAACGACTAAATTATTTAGTAGCCAAACCAACTCTAACAGCAACTAAAACATTAGCCGCTAAAAGTAGACATTTGGCGACTAGTTTTTTTTTTGTCGGAAAAAATGAATGTACTGTGACTAAAATTTTTTTTAGTCACCAAAACTTTATATTTTCCGACCAATTTTTTTGTCGCCAAAGGTTTACTTAACAGAGATGAAAATATTAGTCGCCAAAAGTACTATTTGGCGACTAATTTTAATTTTAGTTGGAAAAAACCAATATTACTGATTAATTTATTTTTTTTGGGCACCAATCAAATTTTTAGTCGTTGAAACTTGAGTTTTTACCGACTAAATTCAAATTTAGTCGCCAATAAGCAATATTTATTGCCTAAAATATTTTAGTAGCGATATCTTGAACCAACACTGACAAATGTAAATTTTAGTCGCCAAAAAATGTACTTTTGGTGACTAAAATTTGATTAGTCGCCAAAAATGGTCGCCAATGATGCGATTTGTTGTAGTGACAACACCTTTCCAAAAAATTATTTCTCACCTAATGTAGTGATGTGAACGTTCACAACATGTGAACATTCTTATTTTTAAGCAGTGATAATATATTATTTTTCCCTTTTTTGTGATTGTGGTTGCTATTGGTGTTGATGGTGTTCAAAGGATGTGAACCCTCTTTTGTTTGTTTGTTTTTTTTTTTTTTTCAAAAAATAATGAAATTGTGGTTTGATATATTATTGTCTATGTGTGTAGCTGTTGTGATGTGAACATTCACATCATCTATACATTCTTATTCACATCATGTTTGATTACCCAAAAAATAGTGGTGTGTGGTTAATGCATTGTTGATGCTGTCATATTTTTGTACTTTGGAAGCTACAATGTAAACATTAACATCATTCTTATATTCAAAACAGGGGCTGTTAATGTGAACCTTGACATTACCATTGTGGACATTAACATTTATATGTGGATATAATATACGAACATTACCATTGAAAAGTATCCATTCCTACTTAATATTGTCAATTTTTTTGCCCTAATGCAAACTTTCACACATGTCACCATGATCATATTGATATAACATTGTGAACATTAACATTTTATGTGGATATATATAACATGAAGATTACAATTGAAAAGTATCTAATTTTATTTAATATTGTCTATTTTTTTGTCCCAATGCGAACTTTCACACATGTTACCATGATCATGGTGTCTTTATCTATATTCCAAAATTCATGTGAACATTCACATCATGTAATTGACAACATAATGACAAAAATTCATTTTCAAATTAATGTAAATATAATGACAGTCAAATCTTGATACATGGTAATTACCAAAATATAATGACAATCAACGTTAAATATCAACATTAATGGGAGCAGGAGAGATTAAGGGTGCTTTGGTTTTCTTACCTCAAATAAGACTTAATGGAATAGTAAAAAAGAATATGAGTTTGATGGAATAAAACTCTTAGAAATGAAATTTATCAAAAAAACTCCCTTTTAACAATTAAAAATTGAGTCAAAAATATTTTAATAAAGACTAGAATAAATCAAATTCAATATATATATATATATGTAAGCAGCTTACAAAAAGTACTATTTTTGTTTTCTCTAAATTTTTTTCAAAAAATTCCAGAATTTTAGATTTTAAAATTGTTACATTTAAGTTAAGTCCATTACAGTTGAAAAGTTTTAGGGTGGTGGGAAATGAAAAGACCAAAAACGAAAGAGACAAATAAAAATGAATAAATAAATAAATAAAGGTATTTTGGTTACCTTAATTTTTTACAACTAGATGGTTATTGCATGTACATTTTTTAATGATAGTGGAGTTGGTTAGACATATTTAATACCTTAACAAAACCCAACTTAAAATAGCAAAGTTATTTTTGAAAAAATCAAACGAAAATACAGGCGATATTTATTTAACAAAAAATAAATCGTAACAAAAATAAACTCAAATTTACAGAAACAATCAATGATGGATATGGTAATTTTGAGATGTATTAGACACAGTATCCTTAAGACAAATTCGTCATTCCATGAGTGTTTCAAATTTGATGGACGTTTATATTCCAAGATATAACAATCGTCATCTTATAGAAGCAATATTATCACTACAAGCTTGTCGCACATCACTATGCATGTACTTACTAAATTGTCCATCAAATATTTTGAAAATTTTCTAGATAATAATCTTAATTTATAGTGGCACAAAATCCGCTATTCCAAAAAACTATGATCCCCAATGTATTCTAACTTTGAGATTTGTACATTTTGACATTTTTTTTTTGATCGGCAAAAAAAAGAATTTTTATTGATGAACAAGCATACAGAGTATGAAAACGAACATCAATAAAAAAGAGGGTGCAAAAAGCATTACAGTAAAACATTCATATCCCAACTAGGTTGGTACCTAGATGCACACCAAATCATCTGCTAGCACAAACTCCGAGCTCGAAGTTGGTGAGTAACCAACATGCAGAGCAAAACAAAAAAACAAAAAAAAACAAAACAAACAAAACAGATCAATCCACTTAGGGCAGAGCAGAACAGATCAGTTGTGGCCTTGGTAGCAGATCAGCAAAACAGAAGCAGCAGAAGCAGATCAGCAATACATAGATTCTAACAGATTTAGCCAGAAGCAGAACTAACAGATTCTACCCATACTGGCAGCCTAGCAGGAAGCTGAACTGGCCGCCGAACCCAGAAACTTGCAGCCAGATTCTAGGCCAATAGATTCAATCACACACAGGACTAGACTAACAGCCTAGCAGCAAGCTCACCTTAGCATGCTAACATCCCAGTCCCAGAACCCCAGCAGATTGGATCGGATTACACACAGGACTTGACTTGCAGCCTAACAGCAAGCTCACCTTAGAATACCAGCAGACCAATAGATTCATACACACAACACCCCAAAGTGACACTAGCAACAATACTACAAACAGCCTATCAACAGCCTAAGCATAACTGAGACCAGCACAACAGACATCAAAGCACCAATTGCACCCACAGTCTCAACACAACCATACCAGCTTCATCTGAGTGTCATCCAGAACAGCAGAGCAGATACAACAGAGCTCAACACTAGAAGCTAAACAGCTACTCTTCCTTGCACAAAACCCTGGAAACAAAATAGCTGAACACATCAATCCAAAGCTCCAACAGACTACAAACTACATACTACCCTCATCTCCTTCATCTACCAGCTGAATCAATTACAAGCATAGAACTCTAATAATATAACAAACTCCTCTACCTACCAGCTGAACACATCAGAACATCAATACAAACCCAGAGATCAGGCAACAGACCAGAGCCCAGAACAAACCAGCACAAACCACCACAAACCAGCTCAGAACAGTTAAGAACATCCTCTGATTTGACGCCAATTGAAAGTTAAATCATCAACTGAATAAGGAAGGTCCTTAATAGATGCTTACAGCCAAAGTGATGCTCTGATTTTGATATTTTCACTCAAACCAGGGAAGTTAGGTTGAGCCTCTGCAAAAACACATTCGTTCCTAAGTTTCCAAAGCGACCAAAGAACAATAAGGGGATGGCTCTGCAAATTAACCTATAAATATTCTTGAAATTAACAGCCATCCACCATTGGAGGAAATCATCCATTGAACCTTGTATGCACCAAGAAAACCCCCACTCATTAATTATAGACGACCAAATCAACCAAGAAAATGGGCAATGAAGCAAGATGTGGACAGCAGATTCAGGTTCAGAACAACAGAATGGGCAGATGAAAGAAGCAGAAGCATCTAAAATTCCAATTCTGTGCATAAATACTGCTGCCTTGATTCTGTTTTTCCAGGCTAGCCAACTAAAGAATGAAACCTTAGGGGGGACAACCCCATTCCAAATATGCTTACATGTTTTAAAGTGAGGCCCTAGAATAGAGCTAGTAGCAAAGTAGAGAGAGGACACAAAAAATACACCAGGACTTACAGATGCAGTAGCCCAGATAAGATGATCAGCCCTGCCAAGTGACAGAGAGAGAGCTGATGAAAGTAGTCCAAGTAAGTTAGCTTCTCCATCCAATTCCCAAATGAAAAGCACTCTCTTAAGAGGAAAATTCCAATTGTTTGGGCTGGTTTTTCTTGCCATGAATTGTTGTAGAGAGCCTTCTTTAGCTATTGAAAGATTAAAGAGGAGGGGAAAGGTAGACTTAAGACTAGAGCTGCCACACCAATTGTCATGCCAAAATTTAATTTTGTTTCCATCCCCCACTTGGATTTGGTAATTATCTATATAGAAATTGTAAATATTTGTGCTATGATTCCCAATAGATAAAATGTCCTTCCAAACTATAGAATGTTTGTAAGAGAACTTTAAAGGTGGATGCCAACTAGCCTCATCAATATTGTATTTGCTGCATATAGCTCTTCTCCAAAGAGAGTTGACTTCAGTTCCAAATTTCCACCACCATTTGAGCAATGGACAAGCATTAACATCTCTGATTCTTCTGATACCCAGGCCTCCTTGGTCGAAGCTTTTAGTTACCTCCCCCCATTTCACTAAGTGAACTTTCCTTTTAAGATCATTACTGCCCCATAAAAAGTTGCCTCAATCTTTTCAAGTTCTCTCGCCACACCTTCTGGCATATTAAATAAAGAAAGAAAGTAAACTGTTAAACTAGATAGGGTAGACTTGATTAGAGTTAATCTACCTGCAAAAGATAACAGTTTCCTCTTCCACCCTGAAAGTTTAGATCTGATCTTGTCAAGCACAGGCTTCCAGGTAGATTTTTTACCAGGATTGGCACCTAGAGGTAGTCCCAGAAATTTCAAAGGAAGGCTGTGAACTTTACAGTTAAGAAGATGTGCAAAGGAGAGCAATAAAGCATCAGACACACTGACACCACACACCACACTTTTGTGATAATTAATTCTAAG